TCATCAGTATGGTCTAATTTTTGTCAGATATATTGGATTTGTTACATTTTAGCCTCCTATCCTCTTTCCTTTTTCTCCCTTTGTTTTATTTTTGGTTTTATTTTCTTCTCTTCTCTTCTCTTCTCTTTCCTTCTCTCTTTCTTTCTTTCCTCTTTTTTTTTTTTTTTTTTTTTTTTTTTTTTTTTTTTTTTGGTGGTGGTATTTTTTGGCCAACACCAGATTTGTTTTGATTGGAAGAATAGATAACTAGTGGTTGTACGAATAAAGAGGAAATCAGGGGAAATCGGCGAAGAACAGATAACTAGAGAATTTCCTACCGTTTGGCTTTGGATATGGGTTTTTGTTAGAACAGTTGGGTATTATCGTGTTCTTATTTAATACCTATCTAATAGTTAGATGTTGTACCTAAGAGCAATTTTATAATTAAAAGAAATAAACTATTTCGCCCAGGGATATTTTTTTTTTTTTATTGTTTTCGATAGAACCCACATACCATTGAGTATCCTCCCTAATTCATCCTTCCTTTCCTACCGGGTTGTTCCTCTTCCGCCTTCACTACCCCCGCGCGGGGTCCATGACTATATACTACTAGTACATAAAATCATCTTATTTAATCCAATATCCAAACTTCCAGCCTTACTTATGGTTTTCAAGTGTTTGTTTTTACAAGGTAACAGTTGCAGCTGATCGGGAATCCCAATGCACATCAGGATGTCTGAGATGTTAAGCAACATTTTCGGCATTCCATCAGCTCATGATGACGCACGAAGGGCCTAAGATGTGCGATTATTTTCTAATCGGGTTAGCCCACTGCACAATGATTATGTACGGAAGTATGTGCGGAACAAATGAGCCTTGGCGAACCGATGTTCGCTTGGAATGGGTATTTAAGACGGATACTGTTGCTTCCATCCTGTTTTTCACCCTTGGAAAGGACAGAATTGGCATTCAAATATTTTCCGTTTTCTTAGAAACCTGCTACGCGGATTGGAAGGAAATATAGGATCATCATTACTCCAACACAAGCAGGATGGCCTTGTTTAGAGACATGGCGGGCATTCCGCCATTGACTGCCTCGACCACCGATAGTGTCCTGATTATCATCGATTCACAAAACGAGTATGATACCCCTGTTCTGAACACTTCTCTTCTCATTCTTTTTTCTTTTCTTTTCTTTCTCTCTCTCCCATTCTATTATTCCAAAAAAAAAAGAAGCAGAAAGAAATAATAGAAATTACATATATGCATCCTCGTATGTGAAACCATATCTGACTTCCTGTTATCCTGAAATAAAATTATAGGTACGCGAATGGACTTTTGAAAGTCGACAATGTCGACAAACGCCGCGTGGTTATTAAATCGCTCCTCGACAAATACCGTGCCACGGCCAAAACAACGGGCAAACAGAACCTTGTTCATATTGTCCATCAGACCGCCGCTGATGCGCCTGTATTTACTACTGGAACGCCATTGGCGGACGAATTTGATGAGCTAAAGCCCTGGGAAGGCGAGAAGGTTTGTATCCATCTCGATCTGACGCGTTTTTGCAGGGAATGTGTTTCACGTTCGATATCGCAAGTCGGAGAGGCGGCAGTGTCTGATGGCGCTGACATTTCGATGTCTTGAATAGGTTATCACCAAAAAATTTCCCAACGCCTTTGCGGAGACAGCCCTTCACGAATACTTGCAAAGCCTGGGTGCTAAAAAAATCGTGCTAGTGGGGTATATGGTGGGTTGGACTGATGCATGATCTCCCCTTTCGGAAGCCAAATACCTTGAAAATATCGATTTGTCCACTTAAGCACTAATTTGCATCACCACGCAACCCCCAGGCACACGTGTGCGTATCTACCACAGCTAGACGAGCTGCCGAGCTTGGTTATGATATCGTCGTCGCTCAGGACGGAGTTGGGAGTCGTCCTCTCGGCGAATATTCAGGCGATGAAATCACCAAGGTAGGTTCATGCTCTTTTCCTGCCACGCGTAGATACATCGATTATTGTAGTGCTTTTTCAGGTTCCTTGCTGATAGCGATATGTAGGTTGCATTGTTGGAAGTAGCGGACTTCTTCGGCACGTTGGTATGGAGCAAGGACATCAGCTGAAAGAGTTTGGGTCTTCATTTTCACCTTCATTAGGTTGAGCTATCTCTTTCTAACGGCTCGGGGGTGCTCTGGTGAGGTGATGCAGCACACATGTCAATTCATATATTTAATGTATTTAAAGAAAATTCAGCCGAACAGGTTATTTGTAGCTAGATCGTCGCTACACGTCCGGGTTGACCCCCTTTGTCAATTGCATTACCAACGAACTCTTTCGGCTTCCTGTTGTGGTGATATAGATTTTGTAAGTTGATGTGCAAAAATAACGCATCAGGTGTCCCCGGGTCTCCAAAACAAGCTTGATTTCCAAAAAGCGTTTATATTCGGGTCGAAGGGCGGAAGTGACATTGACCGTCTCGTATCCAGGAATCCTGACAGGACTCCTTTATTGTCATCGCGCCTGAGTCCAATTTCGTGTCAGTTTTTATTGAAGCGAACAAGTGTAACAAAAAAAAATAGTTCGATATCGTACAGTCCAACTAAAGTCCCATCGTCCAGCGGGCCACCAAAAAAAAGGGTAGGGTTCGACGCCAGCATATCTAGGAGGTGAACTCTTTCCGCACCGGGTGAGTATAGGAATGTGCGATCGTTTATTAGAGTAAAGGCCACGGGGTGCTCGACGACGCGGATGCCAGTGGATTCGAGCAGCTGTTTATCCAGTGTGTTGAAAACGGGATCCTGGGCAGAACAGTCTTTGACGGAAGTCAATAGAATATTTTCGTTGGCTACGCGGGCCGTCAAACGTATCCTTTCGTTAGCTCTTGGTTCTTTCGAGAAGCTCCAAAATTCATAATCATCCAAGGCCCTGGCAACGTTGATATACACTCTTCCAAAACGCACCAAAATATTCTAGCATTGTCACTAATGCCGCAAGTTGGTATAGGGATACAGCCCTGCGGTCAACCCACCCGCCTCTTAGGAATCCGCTGGGGCTCCCCAAACCAACGCAGACGCAGTTGTCGATTCTGCTAGCAGCGCCCGCTAAAAGACCATTGTCCAAGGCCGCCTTGATAGCCTGCCAGCTCTGTGACTCCTCCCAACATCTTTTGTGCCATTGAAACTGCTTCTTCAGTTTCTTGAAAGTCAAACCATCAGGGGTTTCGGCTGGAACTAATAGGTCTTTGATGGGAGGTAGGCAGAGCTGGTTTGATGTCGTTCGTTGGGTAGTCGTGATATGAGTCCAGCCTTCTTCATCATGGACTTGCACTCGCTTTGGCTGGCGGTATTTTCCTTTCCTGCGACAAGCGGATTGGACCATGATCATAAACGACTGAGTCCCTAGCCAGTAGGATGTGTTGTGCTTCCTGGAAGTCCTCGCTTGCTTGGACTCTCCAAGTTGGGGGAGATAATTAAGTGCAATCTGCCACACTATATTGGATTAGTCACATATTAGTCATAACCATCGCTCTCGGGATGTCAATTGGCGACAGCGGCTAATTTGATGGCAGTTTATAGTCCTAGATTCTTTAAACAACAAGAACAATTTAGCATTTACACGCGCTAGAATTATATGGGGTGAGTTCAAGGCGTGGTGCCTGAAGTTTGGGTGTCAAGCTAGGTGTCGAGCCCCCATAATTCTGCCATAAGCGCAGGAATTTCGTTCTGTTTGATGCTTGAGGGCCTCGTAGATATTCATTTTCATCATAGAGATAACCTTAGCCCCAGGGACTGTCTGAAGCTACAACTTTGAAAACCATTTTTATTTTAGTTGACCAACCTTTAGAATATTATCTGATCAGATCTATGTTCTCAAGTTCGAACAACTGGTTTTCCAGAAGACAATACTTTACCCTGAGATCTAACCCAGTGCTCTTCAAAAGTCATTTTTGCGTTGACGCGAAGTGGTCGGGCAGCGGGCATTTCAATCTTACGTCTCTTTTGTCGGCGACTCTTTTCGCAGCGTCCGCTGGGACATTTGGCCAAAGAAAATGACAGACCCTTTCGCGCCGTCGACATTGTCGGCCCAGCATGGATGGTCCATAACTAACAACTGAAAATGCTCCGTGGATGTGCTTGGGTTCCTAACCCTTGCTGTCGCCCAAGTTATTCTGTCATGGAAAATCTTTCATTCGGCAAGAATGCGATATCTTCAATCATCATCAAAAGCCCTCTCCTCGGAATTCCGTTTGTGAGCTTGCGAGCGCTAAACACACATTTCCTGTCCATGGCCCGGCGATCACTGCTGAATCTCCGGGCGCTTAGGTGACAAACGAGTCTTGGGCGAATAGAAAGCACCAACCGAGCCGGGATCGGTATGCAGCAGCGGTTGGTTCTTCACATCCAGCCACCTTAGGCTGGGCCACTCAATGTGCACTTCACGTTTCTTCAAGCACGAGATCTGGTCGCTGATTTGTGGACTATGTGATACAGTCCTTCGATGTGCTGCTAAGGCTTCCTTAGCCTCACCTTCGATCCCCCGTCGTGCAGTTTTAATGGCCGGATCAAGGCCGCTTGCTGCACCTCATGCAGCGACCTTCCACCAGCAAAATCTGGGCATATCCTTCCCCGCCCAGTCACAGGCTACATTGTTGCATTCTGTGAGGTTGCGAATCGTGCATCATCCATTGAGTCCTGAGATGGGCTGCACAATGGCTTTGGGCGCATCTCCAGCTTGATTGGCTCGTAGGATGGAGGGGAGGAGTAACTGACCCATGGGCTGTCACCCTTTTTGTCGTTTATTTCCTTCTTTGTTGACGGCGATTCTTGAGCCCATCAGATGCCCTGCCAAGGGTATGTTGGGTTGGGAATCTATAACCCTGCATTCTCTCACTTTTCCCCTCTTAAGGGCTCTACCACCCACCAAGACATTTATACCGATTGTGCCAGTGCTCTCAGCTACTATTTCTCTCCTTCTCACATCATCGTTCACCATTAAAAACTCTTGGTATTGTCGTTGGCTGTTATCGTCTTCTCATACCTGACAGGGAGACTGAACCGGACAGCTACATCGATATCGACAAACCAGATAGTCCGTGAAATG